TGGGTAGGTATTAAAAAAAAAAAAAAAAATTATATCCTCTCTAAAAAATGCTATTATCTCTTGTAAAATCTATTAAAAAAATACCCTCAACAATTTTGATATCTGTGATTTAAATGAATCAAATACTGTAAAGTTATCAATTTCCAATGTTGCACAGATTTTTAAAAAAATATTGAGGTTCCAAGAATACTTCTTACTACAGTGAACATCTTTAAATTGATTACCACCACCCAATTTAAGGATCATGCAAAAGAAACTGCATTATAATCACAAAATATTCAAGATGTATGCTTTTGCTACTTGCCAAAGAAAACTGTTTATTATTCTAGTACTTAAATACAAAGTAAGCAAACAAAATGTTGAATTTAGCTTTTTCACTTTTTAAAGAAACTATACTGTATACATCGTCAATGGTTGTGCATCTTTATAGTGCCTTCCAGTGTTCCACATTAAAACTGTCTCAAGGCATTTTTGTAGCCACAAGAAACTAAAATTTAATTAATAAACAGGCGCGAACGTGAAGGATAGGAGGAAGGTGCACACCCTTGATATTGAGATAGTGTTGCCATCAAACCGGGTACATGGTACCTTGGTGTCAGTAATGCTGGGCTCCGGTAGCTTCCACCATAAATTCCAGCTCAATTAATGTAAACTTACTATGAGCTTTCATTGATGTTAAGCAACACGACTTTATTAGGCTATGTGAGTATATATTGTATAATATACAATATATGTGAGAATATTGTATAATGTACTATGCACAGATAGTTTATATCTATAACATTTTATTTGAAAATGCTAGGTACTGGCAAGAAATACTTACAATACCCTGGATAGGTGTAGTAATTGCCACAAAGCAATAACCCTCAGAATACATAGTATAAAAAGTACAGTATAACTCTCAAATGACCTTCTTCAAAGAAATGTACAATAATCCTTTCCTCGAGCATTTTAAAGTGTTTGAATTATTTCATTTCTCTGTTTTAGGAATAAAATTTCAATGTGAATGAGATAAATCTTAATTCTGTAATGAAAACAGATAAAATTATTCTAAAAATTTTGGAGTATTTGTGCTAAATTATGGTTGATAATATTTAAAGTAGAAATAGAAATCGTTTAAAATCTTTTGATTAATATAATTTTTTGCATTAGCGCTTGCCTTACGTGCTTATGCCTTACAAATACAGTACATATTTAGAAAACAGAGGTAAAAATAAGGAATGCTAAACTCTAGTTTTTTAAATATATATTTTCTATATGAATTACCTCATCATTTAGTGTAATTTTCATTTATTTTCCACACTATGTACAGTAGACAAATTGTTCCTGAACACTAAATATATAATGTTATAAAATTTATGAATAGGTCATATACTAATATATTACCTTGAGCACTATGGTTCTCACCTCAAAACACCAGTCCATGTTAAGTCAGATTTTGCTATATGTATTAACTGCCCCTGTTTGTAGAATAGGCCTGTGTTAAAGCATAGACCAAGATACTCTATGCAGACCACAAGTTTGTGGTGATTGTAATTCTAGATTACAGACAGTGAACTTAGCTATCTTCCAACTATGCATTCAAGGTTTGCCATTCTCACTTAGCAACAAACTTTCTTATCACTTCTAACTCATTTATTAGCGGATCGTTAGATTATAAGCATAATTTATTTCTCAATAACCTTAATGACCAAATTGGTAACCATAAATTAGCAGAAATATTTGATAATTATTGTAAGGTATTTCTATACAAATGTAATAATACAATGTAAGCAAAATATACATTTCTTTTATTAGCTTCTTCCGATATTGTACAGACCACAAGCAATAGTGTATTACTGTACGTTCATTGTGTGCATATGTCTGGATGCAGAGAGCGAACGTCAAAACGCTGCTGAACACGTTCTCAAATTTGGCAATCGTCGTGTTAGTCGACTTGACGCATGCGCAAGTCATCAAAACTACGTCATAGGTTATCAGTCGACATAGTGGACGTGCAAATCGAAAACTCCTTATTATCGGCACTGGTTCGAACGGCTCACTTGCCAATAGTTCTGGTTTTGAACAAGTCTTCTCTAATAAGGACTTTAAAACTGTAGACCCAGTGTACGCATTTGGCTTGTGTGCACTTTTGAAGAACTCAGTACATCCTTCGAGAAGAGTAGGGGGTTACCCTGGTGTACTGGTCCATTCAGTCCCCTGTTGTTTAATGGATATGCCACGTAGGATAGTGATTAAATCCGCTGATTGGCATATCCTTGGCTTTCATGCCTAAAGAAATGAAATGAAACACATTCTCAACAAAATAAGTACATTTTTCTTTTTTTGTATGTTAATTGTAAAGATTCGGATAAAAGTAGGGGAATATCCATCATTGTGCAGGCTTGCGTTTTGGTGTGGTCTGTGACTACCTAGCATAAAGGCATGTACTGAATAGTAGCTAAATGTTCACATCATTCCACAATGACAGACTGAAATGAACCATAAGATCGAGGTAACCCCCTACAATACCCTTCTGAAGGATACAATAGGTTCTTTAAAAGTCAATACAAGCCAGATTTGTAGTAGTGATCTAAAAATAAATACCATACCTTCATGTTTCATCCAGTCGATGGGAATTTTTTTATTTTGGTGGTGTCCTTTATGCCTTGCTGTATGGGAAAGAACTAAGAAAAAAACGCTTGGCAGTCAACTTGTTAATATGAGGAAGATACAAACCTTTTAATATGTGACATTATGACCTAGGCAATGTACAGACTGTGTACTGTATTTATATGATTTCGATTAGATTTGATTGGATTTATTCGGTGTAAACACCAAGGATAGCCCACGAAAGTCTAGAAGAAGACTTATTTCCAGTGGGGGTCCTTCTGGTGGTGATTGGGCAGTACACCGGGAGACAATCCCCTACTCTTTTCCGAAGAGTGTACTGCGTTCTTTAACGTGCACATGGGCCATAATGCACACGGGACCAACGGCTTAAACGTCTCATTAGAAAGACGGTGCGCTATTGTAACTTGAATTTCAGCCCTCTAGCTGAAACACAAGGAGAGGCAGCGATGGGAATTGAACCAGGGACCTAGAGATCTCCACGGTTCAGCGCACACACAGCGGCTACCACCAGATTAGCCGACTGAGCTAAGCTGCTCTCTCTCAACATTTATACATTGCATTGTGTGCACCAGAATAAGTTTGATTAGGCAAGACTTTTTTTATGACACCTTGTTTAGCAAACCCGCTGTCTGCCAATAACGATGATTTCAAATAAAAATAAAATTTCATTTTTCGCCAATTAGCACACCCACCGCCAGAAAAAAAGGGGTTTTCCTTTAATACTTTTATTGTGCCTGCCGTTACCTTGAAATCTCCAAATAAGATAAGTATATTTCTTCCTAATTATATAAATTTAAAGCATTTAACCATCCCATACTACACTGTTTACATTCACCAATAACATTTTATTTTTTATAGGACCCCTCTGGAAATAAGATTGTTTTACAACATTTTTTGTGGGCTTGGTTCCGCTGTTTTTCATGTTTCTTGTTCTTGACTTTTATATCGAATGGCTTTTTATCTGTTTTAATATTTTTCTTGTTTCTGCATCTTTTATCACTGTATTTTATCTCTATGTATGTTTATTGAAACCAAATAAATTCAAATCAAATCAAATCAAATTTTATTTTCTCCTCTGTCTGGCAAAACTCTTTTCTAAATGAAAAGCCAAAATTTGTTTTATATTTTTTTCCGCCCTCTGACGATCTTTAAAAAAAATAAGTTTGTGAAACAAGGTATTAAAATAGTCTCGCCTAAGCAAGAATAATAATAATAGTCTTGTACAATAAAAAAAATACCCTGAAAACCCCATATAACTAATCTTTAATCTAGCCCTAAAACCTACAGTAATCTAGTAATCCTACTAAATAGAAATGTCATGGTTGGCCATTGACCTGAGAAGCACATTAAGTTTTGTTCAGATATACTATCATTTTTCTTTTTCTAAATTGGTAAAGAATGTGTTGTTTGGTGTAGCTCATTGCAAACAGATTTGTTAAAAATTAAATTTTGTTTTTTAAATTTAGCTTGCAATGCCAGCGAGGAGCTTAATGTAATCCCACGGCATCCAGCCTTTGATGGGGAAAAATGCGCTCAATTCTGATAAAAGTACCTGGGATTAAACCTATCAATAAATACCAGGATTTTTTTCACATTCAATAAACTGCAGAAAATAACTCTCATATTTATAACAACACTTGATTATTGGTAAAAGTACAGTAATTTTACATTGACCAAGAGCAGCCAAAGACCATCAGTAGGGGCAAGTGAAATGTATAAGTACTTTAGCTATTTAGAGGTAAACATTTATTGCTTTTGATGATGCTGGCCCATAATTAAGAAAAAGGGTAGGCATAAAAATTGGTTGGATGGCCGAAGTGAATTTTGATTTAATATTAATAGTTTTAACCGCAAACTTTGAGGAGTTATCAAAAACCTTCATTCACTGCTTTTATACCAATACTCCTTTATAGTCAGTTTTAATGTTTAATTTACTGTAACAAGGGTTTTCTAGCCATAGATGATAGGTGGGACGCAAACATGCTTTTGCACTTTGGCCACCTATACTATAGAGTAAGTAAAAATGTAGCACTATGAAATGTATGTTCATTTTCTATTCAAGCAAACTGACCACTGAGGAGGGGGTAATTTCACCTGGTCCCTCAGTACATTAGGGCGATTGGTGCATGATATGTTCCATCCAGTCAGCAGCTGCTGATTGGATCACTCTCTTGTTAAGTATTAAGTGTTTAAAAAAATTATCAATTTTTTTGCAAATAGAAAAATGATAATGTATAATAACTAAAGATCAAAATTGCTCTTTTAAATTCCAACCAAGTCGATCTCAAATATCTGTATTCCTTGTACACAAGTAATTTCATGTGGTTTTTTTTTTTTACGGGAGATTGGTTTTTATGACATGTACTGTTGCTCACAACACTTTCTTGATGATCCAATTAATCTTTATAGATTTGGCATTGAACTCCATAGTCTCGGCTACAGAGAAGGAGAAGGAATTGGGAGATACGAAAGAACGTATTCAATGCTGCCAGAACCAGTCTTGCCCCCAGCCTGGAACACCAGCAGCTAAGGTTAGTTAGCTTAACCCATCTTATAAATTCATTATATTTTATTGTTCAAAATTAGGAGTAGAAAAATGTTGTAAATGTTTGCAAGCCAATACAGGCAGTTGACTTCAGACAAGTTTATATGCCTATTGGAAAAATTGTATGTGGATTATATATAATATGGTAGGTACAGTAATGTTAAGAGACTGATAATTATACAGTAGATAGATACTGACTAATTTTTGGTACGTAGTATTTTTGTAATTAAATTTATATAACATTGGTAATGAAGTGGTTTAGGTAATTTATACCTTATTTCATGAACCACCTACTGTTAGTTTTTAAAAGTACTGTAACATTATATTTTTGATATTGTGACTGCAATGCACCGCCAGAATAAGTTATGGAATTTCAAAAATGTGTAAATTTTTCCTCATATCTTTTGTTAAGTCTTCTCAGAATTAAATGAATATTTTTCAGTCCAATTCTACTGAACTGTTTAAATTGCCACATTGTATTCTCTATATGATAACATGATCTAAAGCAAACATTTCTTCATGAACTCAATTTTTTTTTGTTTCTCAATCTTTTTTTGCCTTATTTTATTTGCGGCTTATAGAACCATTTTGCTAAATAAGAATATATAATTTCATTTTCTCTTCTCTGACAACCTTTTAAAAATAATTTAACTGTAAACAAGGTATAAAAAAGAATCTCACATTAAAGCATACGTATGAGAGTTACTGATTGTTTTACTTGGATTGAAATTTGTTTTAGAATTATTGTATAATTCAAACAGTTAGGCATTTACAATGGTGGAACGATGCTTTTTATTGCAAACATCGACTGGAAGTAAGAATAGCAAAGTCACGTTGGATGTTCTTTGATCATGTACTTAGGCTCGATGACATTTTTTTAAATACTGCCATTCCCTATAGGAGGTTCTAAATCTTTATGAAGGTCAGGCTGGTAGACCACCAAGTAATTTAATTGTTAAGTCATTTACAAGTTGATAAAATATTAAAAGGCATCTTTATTTTTATAGTTATTTATCTTAAGGCCATGCTCCGGGAGGAACCAATTTTTTGATATATTGTACAACAGATTTTTCGAAGACAAAAACTCAGGAATGGGTATGCAATACAGGATTTTTAATATTTAAAAACCTCTGTAAAGGTGGAAAAAAAAGGGTTTGTTATACCCTTTTCCCCCACTTTTTAAATATTCAAAAATCTGTATTTCATTAACCGTTTCTAAGTTTTTTATTTTTAACACGCATTTTGTGTCTTAAGCCGTGCACTCATTGCACTGTATAATGGTTGTACGACAATCGGCCAAAAAATCCAATTTTGTTCCCTGTGACTATCTAGACGATGCAACGCTGTCTGCTGATTTTCGGTGATAGTCTGAATGGATCATTAAAAACGATCCACTGGGCGTGTGTTATGGCTCTGCGTTTTCCATAGAATCGCGTCGACCGTTGGATTCAGTGACTGCCTGGCTTTAGCAAAACCAGTTGTACAACATAGCAAAACATTTTTTCATCCAATGATTAAATGATGTGGTCATGTAGTATTTTGAAGTAATTTTAATGCCAAATGGGAGGTGGTTATTCAGTAAACAACAGCTGTCATGAAATAAACAGGAGAATGAGGAAGTAATAGGAAATGGCCAAGACAAATATGTGAGAGTGGGCATGGAGTTGTCATAAAGTAATTTGAATGGTTTTATAACAGAACAGAAAAGCAATTATTGTACAAGGGAGTGGCATTAAATGGGAGTAGTCAGGAAATGGGAGATACTACATTGAAAGTAATCATCTATAAGGCCACCAACACATGTGACTGTTGACAAACTGTGATCCTACAAAAGAAAAAATTGGGGCATTCTCAGTAAAATGTGCATTATTTTTTCTTGTGCTGTTAAATTGCTTGGTTCACAGAAATTAAGCCTGTTTTTCACTTGGTGAATTTATTCGTGTGAATTAAAGGTTCGGTTCATTTTCTAAGCTCTGATCGGTTGTACATTTTATCGCTTCACAAAAAGTAGAAACAGTTCGAACTCCTGATTTTGCCGAAGCGAAAAACTCCCAATAGAAATGTAAATGCGCATTTTTTGATTCGCATGAATAATTTCGCTTGGTGGAAAACAGGCTTGGCAGAGACTACGCCAGTATCAACTTTGAGTGTTACTTTATTGAACACTATGAACAAGACCACCACAAGGGCTTTACTGAGACCGGAACTCCTTGAACCATAATGATATGGCTTGATGCCAACATATGCGCAGTACACAATGCTTTAGCGTTATATACATAATGCTCGAATAGACCCTAAATAATGCAAAAGAACCCAAAAAAGAATTTTGATCTGAGGTCAAGTCCCAAAGGGAAATTCCTTGATGCAAATTTATTACATCATCACCAATACTTTAATGAAGAATATTGTAAACTAAACTATAAGGATTTTATTGTACAGATAGATATAGGCCTAGGTATTAAAGTTACCTAGGCACAGTGCGTGAGATTCGTAATTTCAAAATTGGGATATTGTGAGTATGCTAAGTCAGTTCTCAAATTATATAAAATTGGTAAATTTTTCTCATGGAAGTAAATTATTTGAGTTATTTATGGTTTTTTCCCGATTTTAAAATAGAATTGATGTCTTTTAAACGAACAATATAAAGAAAGGAAACTTATCAAGATATTGTCATAACATAATATCATGTGATGTGGACAGGATTTCTCGTTCTGGTTTCCCTTGCAGAGTTCCCGCATTTCCTGCTGAAATGATAGTAGCATTACCACTTCCTGGTTACCAATGTAGCCCCTCAGCTAGAGAAACTTCCCTTTTATATTATAAGGAAATAGTTTGTACGATTGTTATGTACTTGATATGAATATGAAACACAGCACTGATACCATCTTGATACAGAATATATTCTTCCATTTTCATTTTTAGCTCCGATGAGGAGCTCTAGATATACTCGGAGCTGATTGATAAATCTGATTGAATATTAAATAGATAATTTTAGTATGGGCAGCCTTTAGGGGTCTACTGCCTTAGGAGCTATAGAATTTCTCAGCTTATTGATTAATAGATCTTTTTTGTATGGGCAACCGTTAGAGCCAATATACTCTACTGCCTCTATTATACTGCCCTCATCGGAGCTTTTGAGACTACAAGAACTTGTTTTATGTATTCAGTACAAGAATACCTTCAAATTTAAAAATTATTATCAATACTTGATTATTTTATGAGCAAAAATAGTGATTCCAATGATTCTGACAGTAACAAATTTCTTAATAAAAATATAAATGTAAATATTGTAATTAATATTAATTATGTTATGAAATAGTAATAATCCACTAGCAAAAAATGACAGTGTGTAATCTGTCTCTTATACACATCTAGATGTGTATAAGAGACAGCACAATAGACATAACAACAATGCTCAAATAGGAACATGTTGTAATAATCGTATTAACATAGCTCATCAACGAAAGGTTCCTTTACTTGATTTGAAAATACACACACACCCACACCCACCCCTGTATTACTATTGTTATTGTTATTGTTAATTATTGTTCTTCTTATTATTGTTATTGTTATTATAATTATATCCTTTTAAAAATTAAGGATTTGATAATGTAAAAATATACCATTGTCACAGTCAAGTGTGAAAGATCTTTGGTTGTCCCATCCTAAGTTATAATCAGTGTTATTCTTCCTGGTACATGTTGTGGAGGCCACTAATCAGTCAACCCAGGAAAAATAAAATATAAATAAAATGCCTATATTTACCTATTGAACTGTAGGAAGAACTGTGTCATGTGCAGAGAGCTATCACATGACCTACAAGGTTAACCGTGTAAAAATTTTACATGTATTCATTATAAATTTTCCTGTGTTGAAGTACCTATAATAAGATGTCATTTGGTATGTTACAGGTAAGTCAAGTATTTTAATTGTAAAGCAATCCTAAATCCATTATTTGTTTGGGAGATTAGGGGCCATTAATCAGTTGACATCTATTTCTGTCTGAGTGTAATACTGTATAGCACTTTTCTCTCATTTCAGTTAAGTTAGAATTTAGCATTATTGATTTATGTTTTATTCTACAGTATATCAGAATATTCTAAACATGGAAAGCTATTGGAGTAGTTTACTGCATATAAGCTTGTGCTCAAGTATAAGCCTATCCGCTATTTAAAGCATGATTTTTTATGTTAACCTTTGTCTGAACATAAGCCCAGGACACAATTTATATAGTTCACTTGACTTGAACTCCAAGAAATATAGGGATAACAATAATTTAAGAATCTTGTCATGATATCTAACCATAGGAAAAAAAAAACCAAAAAAAAAACCACAAGTCCACCTTGCTAATACCATCATGAGTTTAGTAGGGCTAACTTTCAATTATAACTTTGTTTTTTTACCAGTTGACACAATTTTGTTATAGCATCGTCAATTATAATTGCAATTTTAGATGTGTTTGGGGGGGGGGGGAAATTTAATTTAATAATCGATTTTCATGTTTTCATCCAAAGTATAATTGTATGGGTATTGTCAATTTTTATAGGATCTCCATATAATTTTTGGTTCCTTTTTGTAGCAAGTTCCTCTGGGCATATACTCGATAAAATGTGGTAAATAAAATGCCTTAATATCAATGTGAATATTGGTTAAACTGTTTCTTGCTTGTTTTATTACATTATATGTAAATATGTTTAAGCTGAGATATGTTTGCATTTGATTTTTATAGCTTTTTTTTAATTTTTGCATTAGGAAATAGAAATTTGTTTATCTGTCTAATCTGTCTCATAGATGTTAGCATTAAGTATGTTTTGTAATACTGGTTTTGATTAAAAGTCAGGAAATAACAAAATACTTAACATTTTCCTTAAATCTAAAAACAACAGAGGTCCTTTGTAATATGTGGCATGCTGATAACTTTGTTATTAGTCACAAGTTCACTGGAAAATTACTAAAAAAAATTGGTTTGATAATCACTGATGAAGG